AATTGGTTGTCGACAGCCACTATTAGCTGTCAATTATATCTTATATAATTGATTCATTCATATAATCGACATAATTTTTGACGATTATGTGAGTATAATCGATAGTTTTTCTACTATCGATTATATTTTTGTCATTTAAATGCTGTTTTCTAGTAGTGAAATTTTTAATTTAATTAATTTAAAAGTAAAATCAAGTATTAATGTCAATTTATATGCCATGTAAGCTAAAACTTAAGGAAAAAAAAAAACTAAAAAGAGTTAAATTTTAAAATTTTAAGAACTAAAATAGAGATTTATTTAGTTTAAGGATTAAATAAAAAATTTGTACCACAATAAAGGATTTAAAGTTGAAGTTTAACATTGAATATAAGGTACTTGTGGACACAAATCTTGCCATCCTACGTGTTATGAAAGTGCTCTCTCTCTGTTCGAAGGTTTAGGTTGATGACACTTTTTTTTCTCGATGTTAGGTTAAGGTTGATACTTGAACTTTATGCCCACAATTATTTCCATTATAGTAGCCGACAATCCATGTCAATTTCCCCCTTTCTCTTAGTATAAATTATGGATGTGCAGGAGAAGCCCTGAGCTCCTGGCCCAAGTGATTACCTATTTTTTATAAAAGATAATTTTATTTTAATAGATGCATAGGGTTTAAGTCCTACTCTCGCATTTTAAAAAAAAATTTATGGATGTGAAGTTTCATTAAGACTTCCTTCTTCTTCCTTTTTGTTTCTCTTCTGATCTCTTCTCAATTCTCATGTCCTTTCTTTCTAAATTTCATTTTTAGTAAGGCAGCCATCATTTTTTTTAAGAGAATGTTGTTTTGTAATTTATACTCTGTACGGAGTGTGTGCTCTTAACCTTCTTTTTCTTTAAATAAAATAGTTAAATATTTCAATTACATCCCTTTCTTTACCCCAAAATTTTTTATTTAATGATTTGACCCCCCCTGAAATTAGTTATGGCTCCGTAATTGGCTAAAAGTCTTCAATCTTCATCATTATATGAAAATATTTTGGTGTAATATTAACCATTCTTATTAGAAGTTCTTAAAGTATTTGAAGTAGTTCTTAAAATACAAACTTACATGTTATTTAAATAATTAACTCTTTTTATTTATTTGAGATTTATGATATTAAATACATTTATTTATTTAATAACATCTGAAAATTGAATAAAAAAATCATACAAAAAAGTTATCTCTATATCACTTCCCTTATTTTTTTTACTTAAAAAGTTGTGAGAAATTTGAACCATTAAAAATAGAAAGATATATTGTTAAAATTTTGTATAAATATGTTATGTAAATTTTTTGCGTGAATGAGTCCCTCTTCTAATTAAAATATTCTCCGAAGGTTACTTTCTCACAATCTTATTTTCACATTTTAGGCTTTTTTTTTTTCTATTGTTAAACATAGGTAATTTGCGAAAAAAGAGAAACTTTCAAGTGTGTTAGAAGCCCCTTGCAATTAAAGCTATGGTGGTCCACAAAGAAGCGGTTTAACTGGTTAACAACTTGAAATTTTAAATTGAAGATTTTAAATTTGAATTTTAAATTAGATGAAGAGGGATTGGAAAAAGGAAGAGTTATTTTCTCTTATATAACTTATATATCATTATATCAATGACTTATTGATTCAAGTAGAAGAAATTCGATTTTCTTTAAATAAGATTTCGAGTTAGAGTGTTATGAATAGAGAAATAGGCACTGGGAGAGCTTATTACCTTATGGAGTTCAACCCAACTTGACATTAAATTAATTAAGATTTAATATAGCTTTTAGATACTAAGGGTTAGTACCAAAAAATAAGGCTATATATTATTACCCATACCAGATGTACCAAAAAAAAAAAAAAGTGGGTGATTTG